GATGATGATGATGATGATGATAATGAAATCATACATTTCAGGATCACCAAGTTAGCATTTTCAGTCCATCTCGTCTACCTATGCTTGTGCACCTGTTTCTCCTTATAACCTTATTATTTATTCATTTTATGGTGATCCAATAATAAGCGATGAGAGTAAGATCATAAAATATTATCATAGGAATCAAAGTTTTACTTATTGGGCTGACAGTCCAAAGTGGGTTCAGCCCATGGTGAGCTTTATCAGCCCACACCTCCTCTTAACCTAACCCTAGATCAATATAAGGGGGGTGTGGTGGTTGTGTTTTGGCAGAGGTGGCTGTGTTTTTTTGGCAGAAAAGGGCAGCAACGTGGAGAGCTTTGCAGCAGCAAAGAGGAGAAGAAAAAGGCAGAAAAATAAGAGAAAGAAAGGGAAGAAAATAAGGACAACGCAGAGAGTCTGTTCTCAATCATCTAGCAGTGTTCTCATTTCAGATTAGATCAAATCTACAGTAGACTCTTGCTGTGATTACTTGGGGAGGTTTTAGATATCGTGTACAGTGACGTGATCCTTGTATCCCAATTATTCTTTTGTGATTGTTGCTAGGGTTTAGGGCAAGAGATTAAGATTTGTATATTCATTATTCTCATAGTGGATTATCTCTAGTTTGTCCCGTGGTTTTTATCCTTCACATTGGAGGAGTTTTCCACGTATATCTTGGTGTTATATTTGATTGTGATTTCATTTAATTCTGCTGTATATCATGGTCTGCTAGTATTTGTTCATATTTAAAGGTTATTCCGCTTTATATCTCTATCATTACTAGCTATGTGATATAAGGATTGTTGCACATGAATGGCTATTGACACGTTAACGATACTCGATCGATCGATGTATCATTATTATCGAGTCGATAAATCACTCGCATCAGTTCGATACCTTAATATTATTCGATAACTTAACTAATAGAGATTTAGTCATTCATTACAAGGTCGTGGACTTAAATCTTGTATTCATCACTTAGCAAATAAAAAAAAAATCAACTAGAAAGTTGGCTCAACACTCAACCAATCACTACCTCACATCTTCTAGATTTGATTCTACACGATCGTACATATAGTCAAGGAAGGTGTATAATTATTTTCAATATTTAACCATCAAATGTAATAGTCTCGTACAAAATGATAAAAAGGCTCAGCATATATATTCATAGACTTAGTTACTTTGTTGAATCCTTGGAACAAGAAACAAACATAGATATCAAAGGGACTTTATAAAGGATAGATACTCTTTACATAGATTTTGTATAGGGTATTGACTCGAATTTTATTTATTCTAATATCACATCACTCTTAAATAGACACATAAGATGACCTCAGTTGCATCCAAATTAATAACTGAACAACCAAAATTTTACTTAATACTACATTTGCTAAAATTCTTAAACTTTATTGAGTTTGGTGCATCACTATAAATATTTTGTATTCATGGTGTAAAAGTCTTGTAAGTAAAAACTTAGGCTCTATTAGGTCAAAGATATAAAATAAATTTTATTATTATTATATATTATTTTATACCAAATTCAACAACGATAAAGGATTAATATATATTAATTCAAAATAGTAATGGCCTTTATTGGGATCGGTATTTTCATATAAAAAATGCATCTGTGTCTGATAAACTAAAGCCTTTGATGATCATATCTAAATGTTAACCACCGGTAATGAACTCTTGTATTATAATGAGAATGATAGAAAGATTATTATGGGTATAAATTGTCTCGAACTCAACCGGTGATAGAAAAAATATTCACTCCTATATGGACTCGACATGTAGTAGCCCAATCAGCACAAGGAGACAAGATCTATCTTTTTTATCTGTCTATATAAGTCTAAGACAATAATTATGAATTACCTGAGATATGAACAAAGGGCTAAAGGAGTTGATTTTGTGCTATCTCCTCCTAAAAGGCTCCAAGAAATATTCTTCATTCTCTTGTTAGATGTAAAAGATTATTTTTAGGATAAATACAAGGAAGATTATTTTTAGGCCATACTTATCTACCTTGAATTACTAATTTAAGTGCTAGAGGGATAAGTCAAAAAATCTCTCATGACCTTAGTCTTTATGTAGATGGTACATCGGGCGCTTAGTGTTTCCTACTCGGAGGCACTTCGACCATACTTTGAAGACATCAATGATATATGAAAAAAAACTATATTTAGCTGATCAAGACATCAATGATATTATTCTGTAATAATTATCATTCCGTAATAATTAACAATTCATAGACTAAAATTAGAAAATATCACAATACCATTTAATTGCATTCTTGATTCAATGGACAAACCCACTTTCATCAACATGTCAAGTTAACCTTGCCATCATTTTGGACAAGTAAAATATAGATCGCGGGGAACGACAAATAATGACAATGAACTATGAGTTATACTCCTAATAATCTTGTGTCTAATGATTGAATGTCAATTAGACCATTATCCTCATCAAATCAGGAATAATCTAATATCTGTCTTATATTACACATAATTAATTTGGATCCAAAGGTTGAGATCGATTCATCCGAGCAGTCTTCTCTAGCTCATGCTTTGTGACACCACTATAATCTGATCTAAAAGAAAATTTGAATTAATTTATAGGATTAGATGAATGAATATTATTATTTTGAGTTTAAATATTATGGTTTAAACACTCCTTTAATGAAACTCGTGTGTCCTGTAACATCGCATATCAAGTTAGCAAAAGATCACATATGAAAATTTGAAAGAGTATCCTCGATATGATGCAATCTGAATCGTGTCAAATCTTAATTAGCTAAAGGATTGATATTTTATTCTTTAATAGGTAAATTCTTCAAAAAAAATCTCAAAGTTTTCTTTTTTTTTCACAAAGTATTTTTTATTTTTTTCTTGCTTCTTATTTTCTAAAAGATAAAATTACCTATAGCCTCCACCCAATGACTATCTCTATCCCTCGTTCATTCGTCGCTATCAAGGTATTGCTAAGGTCTTATCACTGTGTCCTCATCTGCATCTCTACCCTCACTCTCCTTTATTGTCTTTGATCATGCCATCACCCTCATGTCATGGTTCTTCCTCTTCGGCATCGTCAATTCGATCATAAGTGGAGGAGCAATAGCGAACTTCATGAAGTGGTTATTCCCATTCCTGGGTGGGTCCTCGTCATTAGGTGTCAGAGTCGAGCTACAAGTCGACTAGCTTCGTTACGGCTACTACATCATTAGACCTCGAAGACTAGAAGGATCAAAAGGTGACGTCATTATCAATTATGATGATACCTAAGTAACATCTTGATAATGACAAACGACAGGAAGGGTGAAAGATGAGTTCTTATCACTCATATCAATCGAGTATAAGTGGGATAAAAGAAATATCATATTTTATAGAATAAAGATATTATACAAGAATAAAAGAAAAAAATGTTAAGCGGGAAAAAAATAAAGGGAAGAATTTTTTTTTTCAAATGAATTTGCCCTTTTAATGTGATTTTTAATTTTTAATTTTTTATATTTAATTTTTTGGTATGATTCGAAGGATTGGCATTCCTCCATGCCGTATCACATATTACGGAAGTCTGACGTTGTCCTTTGCATCACACACGCAGTACGTCTCTGCTGCATGGAGCTTCTCTTCTGGTCTATCATCATATCCCTCGTGCCATTCGATGCATTCAGGTGCGTCATCCCGACGCGATCAATGGCCCTTTCGGCCGGTCACGAGACCAACCACTGTTCCTGTGCTGCCTCTGAAAAAGAGGGAGCAGAGGGGCTCTGCGGTCGTGTTTCCCCATGCACAGTGAGCGAGTTGCTCTCTATTCAATGAACCTTCGCCAGACTGACCGAGTAGATTGATCACCGCCACGTCAATTTAATGCTTTCCAATGACTTCACTGACATACGACGGCCACCGCATTCCCTACATCTTTGGTTGAGACCGACTACGGATTGAAGAGTTGAAGAAGGGACGATGTGGGTGGAGATGAATGAAGATGACTAATTTAAGCCGTTCTTCTTCTCTCCTCCCGACTTCGAAGCCGCACCTTTGCTTTCCTTGGCCCATAATCCTTCCCTCCCCTCCGTCCATGTGCGACTCCTCCGCTGTCATTTTCTATTACAACCACCGCCTCACCTATCAGCTGCAGTATTCCTGGGCGTATAATGCAGTCAAAAAGGTCCAAGACAAGCTAAATTATGCCGTCATTGCTATTTTAACCCCATCTTTCCGAGTTCCGATGACCACCGTCCCTTCCACTATAAAAAGGCCTCACCCTTCGACCCCCCAACCCATCGAAAGCCCACCTTTCCTATTGTTTCCTCTGGAATCATGATGGCTTCCAAGTATTTACTCGCCGCCGCCCTCCTCTTCCTCTCCGGCCTTGCCGCCGGCCTCGCCGCGCCGGACATGTCCATCGTCTCCTACAACGAGGAGCACGGCGTCCGGGGGCTGGAGCGAAGCGAGGACGAGATGCGAAGGATCTACGAGGGCTGGCTGGCCAGGCACGGCAGGGCGTACAACGCGCTGGGGGAGAAGGAGGCGCGGTTTGAGGTCTTCAAGGACAACCTCCACTTCGTCGACGGCCACAACGCGGCCGCCGACGCCGGGCGGCAACGGTTCCGCCTCGGCCTCAACCGCTTCGCCGACCTCACCAACGAGGAGTTCCGGGCGTTGTACTTGGGCGCCAAGGGCCGTGGCGTCGCCCGCCGGAGCCGGGTGGCTGCCGACCGCTACCGGTACGAGGGAGCCGGCGATGTGTTGCCGGACTCGGTGGACTGGAGGGCCAAAGGCGCCGTCGCCGCCGTCAAGAACCAAGGCAGCTGTGGTGAGTCTCCCCCTCCTCTTTCCTTTCCCCTCTCCCAAGCAAGATCTCGTGATCAGCAAATCCATCATCAAATGCTAACTCTTGAACGGTTGTGCAGGGAGCTGCTGGGCGTTCTCGACTGTTGCTGCAGTGGAGGGCATAAACCAGATCGTGACGGGGGAGCTGATAAGCCTGTCGGAGCAGGAGCTGGTGGACTGCGACACGGCCTACAACCAGGGCTGCAATGGCGGCCTCATGGACTACGCCTTCGACTTCATCGTCAACAATGGCGGGATCGACACCGAGGACGATTACCCCTACAGAGCTCGAGATGGCTCGTGCGACCATAACAGGGTACCAATCTTGACTGTTGTTGTCATGATTTCATTCATGTTCTCACGGGGATTAGCTTTGTCGTTTGACGATCGCAGAAGAACGCCAAGGTCGTCACCATCGATGGGTATGAAGACGTTCCGGAGAATGATGAGAAGGCGCTGCAGAAGGCTGTGGCAAGCCAGCCCGTGAGTGTCGCCATTGAAGCCGGTGGCAGGGAGTTCCAATTCTACCAGTCGGTATGTGGTTGCTGCTTCAAGTGATTATTCTCATGAATTTAAGGGAATTAAAAGGGCATGACATAATATATTTCTTTGTTTGTTTACCTAAATAGTGATTATTCTCATATTATGTTTACTTAAATAATTCATCCCTGGAAGCTAGACAGCAAATCTGTCGTTTATATTATGTCGAATTGGATGGTCTTATCGAAGATCATCTGTACGAACATCTTGTTCTTCGTATCGCTGAATAAATCTTTCATCTATAATAGCACTTTCTGCTGAAAAATTCTTTTTTTTTTCCCACAAAATTTAGGGGATATTCACTGGAAGATGCGGGACCGAGCTGGACCATGGCGTCGCAGCGGTAGGCTATGGCACAGAGAACGGCACGGACTACTGGATCGTTAGGAACTCATGGGGAGGAGACTGGGGAGAGGCGGGCTACATCAGGATGGAGCGGAACGTGAATGCATCCACCGGCAAGTGTGGTATCGCCATGGAAGCTTCTTACCCGGTAAAGAAGAGCCAGAATCCACCGAACCCTGGTCCGTCCCCGCCCTCCCCGGTGAACCCACCGACCGTTTGCGACAACTACTACTCCTGCCCGTCGAGCACTACCTGCTGTTGTGTCTACGAGTACAATGGCTACTGCTTTGCCTGGGGATGCTGCCCTCTGGAGGCTGCTACCTGCTGTGATGATCACTCCAGTTGCTGCCCTCGTGACTACCCTGTTTGCAATACCGAGGCTGGAACCTGTCAAATGGTAATTTCATCGGACTCGTCTTTTGCTAAGTCTCTCATTTACCAGAACCGAATTGAATGTGTGCCTTTACGATCTTTGTTGCCATAATTTTGATAGCCATGATTCATCATTTTTCATGCCGAAACGCAGAGCAAGGAGAACCCACTCGGAGTGAAGGCTCTTGTCCGCACACCTGCAAAACCCTACTGGGCTTACTCTGGCCGAGTGGAGAAGAAGATCAATGTTTGAATGCTTCCAGCGTTGATTTGTTTGGTTCGCCGCCGAGTGCAGAAACGAGGGGCAAGATTTGCAGACACCTCATGATCACCGATTGATTCACGTTTTATTAGATGATTGGCCAAAGTCCATGTACATGATCTCGATTTAATACTGGACTTGAAGCTAAAAGATTGTTTTTTTCCTTTTTACTTGTCAAATGATGAAAGTTGCCCCTCTTCATCTGCTTCTGCACTTCCACAATTACTTGAATCAATCAATGATTTAATGCACCGGTTTGCATGCAGATTAATGCCTTCCAAGACTGCCCTCTCCGATCACCTTTGTTTGGACGACGATTGTTTAGTCGTCCTCTTTGGAACTCTTCTAACACAGCAAGAAAACCAGGAAGATCGTGAGATCGATAGGTGGATATACTCAAGAGAGAATCTTAATGCTTTGACACTGATGAAACTGATAGGCGTCCAAGAAGTCTAAAATCACTCTCGAAATAACTAATAGAAAAAGACAAAAGAGAAGAAAAAAAAATCCCATTCTATGAAGTAGCAAACTGAATAGTTCAAGAAAAATCAACCCAAAACCACATCTAAATCAAAACGGGCTCCCCCGCCCAAGGAGTCGCGATGTGTATATCAGCTCAGGAAACATCATTCAACGACAGACCAGCTAAACGGTTTGCGACCTGCTGCTGCTGAACAACACTTCTCAAGACTCCCATAGCCTCCACTACTTTGGCCTGCAGCGCTTCAGGAGATTCCAGCAAGTGTAATACTTCGTTCTGGTCCATCTCAAGGAGCATGCCGGTTACTTTCGCAGCATACCCGTGCTCTAACTGATCCACGAGAGGATAGAGGCTCTCACCCAGCATCTGAAATGTAAAGAAACAACACACTCGGTTACTACCTACCCGGTGATGCAAATCCATATTATCTTAAGAACTAGCATGCTTCACGCACAGACAAACCCACAAGTTACTATTGGACCTTCCTTACCAGTCTCTGCTGCTCTGGTGTAGCATTTGCAAGAGCCGAAGTCAGTTCTCCTACCGGAACAGGTTGTGACATGCCAGCATGCCTTGCGGGCATACCACCCATGTCATAGGGGGGAGAGAACATCCCTTCAGGATTGCCGACTTCCGGCATGCCACGCCCAGGTGGATAGCGGTAAGGACGTCCACCCCTTGGGAGCATCTGCGACATTCAGATTCTCACTATATGCTATCACAGAGGCTTTTTAATTTGTGACAATATGCACGGGAAGAGTGATGGTTATGAGAAACCGGGACCTGCACTCAGTGCAAAAAGTTTTATCACACACCTGCTGTTGAATCATTTGCATAGGGTGCTGCTGTGTCAGTTGCAGTGGACCTGCTCCTGCTCGTCTACCACCAGGACGTTGGGCCTGCTGACCTTGTTGGGCCATCGGGATAAAGAAATTGGGAAAAGGAGCAGCTCCAGGTCTCATTCCAGTAACAAGGGGATGAGGGAAGCCAAATCCAGGCTGTAAGAAAAATGTCATTGGAACACACATCATTTTAGTTCTCCTTCAAGTGATACTATCTTATGGAAGATTCTCGAAATAAAAACATATACCCATGGCAATGGGTCCCTAATGGTTTGACAATGTGTGCAATTGGAATTTTTTTCATATCAAACAAGCAATTTCTTCAGATTTATTCACAGTAAAGCTAGTTACAATATGTTCAAGGGGGCCTGTTGCATGGTTAATGGCCTGAAAAAGAATCACACCGACAAAACACAACATGAACAGAACGTTGCAACACATAACTTACCACATGAAACACCTTTACATAATTGATCAAGTAGGCTTTCGGTTAGACTTTGCAATTGAAGAACATATAGTAAGCATATAACCATATTGCCCATACTGGTAACTACTCTAACCCCTTTTCCTCTCTTTACTTTTTTCTCTTCCCCACATGGCCCCCGCCTCTCCTGTGTCAGAAGGTACTGCTCTTGTGACAACTCTGTGTGCTTGTAGTAGTCCAGTCGCAACCAACCATTAGTACACTTAATGGTACCAGTGTAGTATCAAAATTTGGCAGTCAACCAGTTTTTACACCAAACTGAGATTTTGTTCTTTGATCAAAATCCATATCTCAATACACTAGCAATATCAATAATTAAACTATTTTATAATTCATTTAAATATCTATATTTTATTCCATTTGTATGCATTGTTGATGAAAACCAAAATACCACTATGTAAACTGATCCATTATGGTGCCTCTGACCAAATTCATTGAACCAAATGCCACCTTATTGGTGAGGATACTCTCAGCAAATTCTACTGCAACAACCTTAAAGGATGGTTCAATCTTAAAGTTGAGAGATGCATGTAATAAACACAGCCATGAAAAATTAAGTTGCATCACAAAGGAGCACAAACTAGTCAAAAGAATGATTTACCACAAAACATACAACTAAACTTTGTTTTGGGTGACAGATGCTACCTGAGGAGGAACAAGTGCAGGTGGTTGACCATAGAAAAGTGGTTGTCCTAACCCAGGAGCACCGGGAGGATACAATGGAACACGAGGAGCAACTGAAGGCGGAATCACCACAGGTCGCATTTGTGAAAATTGAGCCTGGCAAAGGAACAAACAGGCAACCAATGAAACTTACCACATTATTTATGACCATATGAAAAGGATAACAAAATTTGTAAGATATATACATTGGAATATGCATAATGTCAGAATTCATCACTTTCCATTATAATTAAACACTTTTCATGAGCTAAAAAGCACAAGAGACTTCAATTAGAATATGAAAATAAATCAACCCCTAAAAGTTCATTTAAAACATTTCCATGATATAACTGAAACGAGACTTCACCGTTGTTGCTGCTGACTACCCCACATGGTTGGCAACTTGAATTTGTTATTGTATACCATTGAATGAGATAATATTAATATTACACTGGTCTCTTATCTCCAAGCATATAGCTCATATGATGATACAGAACTATCATGTAGACTTCAAAGAAATTACCTGCAATCTTGCTCTTCTGTCTTCCTTGCGTTGTGCTAGTGCAACATAAAGTGGTTTATTGCCAATCATTTTGCCATTCATCTCCAAAAGCTACAACAAATTTAAACATTGAATCAACAAACAGTATACAGTAACCCAAAGTGAGGTTGCAACTTCCAGACTTTGACTTACTGCTTGAGAAGCATGATCAGGAGACTGAAAAACAACAAATCCAGATCCCTTGCTCACACCGTTTTTGTCACGCACAACCTATAAAAGTTTTACAAGTACATAATGCAGCAACAAGCAAATTATAATGGAATGAGAGAACAATGAAATCAAATTAAACAAATTAAAAACAACCTTGCAAGAAGCAATTGCCCCAAACCCTGAGAACAATTCTCTCAAGTTATCATCACCAATGTTATCGTCTAAGTTTTTCAAGTACAAGTTAACCCCTTCCAATTTTTCAGAAGACTCCTGCTTACTCTGGTCAAACTTCTCTTTAAGTTCCTGTTCTCTCTCTGACTTTTTTTGTGCTCTTCCAACATACCATTCCTTATCATCAAATTTCTTCCCATTAAGTTCCTGAACAGCCTGAGCAGCTTCATCAGGATTCTCAAAATTAACAAAGCCAAAGCATTTTGATTTTCCATCCTCCCCTCTCATTACAATACAGCTAGTGATCTTTCCAAATTCACCAAAAACTTCTTGAAGAGTATCTTCTGTTGTAGACTCTGAGAGATTTTTTACAAATACATTACTAAATGTTATGTTGCTTGCAGCATTCTCCCTTTCCTGTTTACGAATAAAGGGCCCAACAAAAACTTTCTTATCGTTCAATAGCATGCCATTTAGATTCTCAATTGCATTTTGTGCTGCATCATCTTGTTCAAACTGGACAAAGCCATAGCCCTTTGACTGACCAGATGCATCTGTTGCAACCTTGCAAGAAAGAATATTCCCAAACGCAGAAAATGTATCATACAGTGCTTTGTTGTCGATACACTTGTCCAAATTCTGCAACAAAACAAAACAAAACAAAGTCAAAAAACATGTAAAGATATAAACACAATAACTACTTGTTGAAACACATAAAGTGTCACGAAAATCAACTCATTAATTCAAGTTCCAATGATCCAAGAGAAGATCACGGAAATTGTACCTTGATAAATATGTTGGCAGTCCCACTTCTACGTGTGCTAGGATCACGATTTGAATGCATTATCCGAATAGTCTTCCCATTGAGAGGCATGAAATTAAGCACTTCCAGTGCCCTTGCAGCTGCCAACAGGCACTTAACAGAGTCAATAAATAGCATACATAACTTTCTACCAATGCAGTATAAGCACTTCAATCTATATCATCTTCATAAGTTGGCATCAAGATTCAAAATGGGTAGTGGATCATGAATTCTCATGATTCTACTGAAACAGATGATTTACATATCAATAAAAATCAATACCTAACAGAAAATGAAGTCAAAGTGAAAAGAACTTTCATAATTTAGATTGTTCATGAATTTAAGACATGTCAAATGTAATTGTCAGAGACATGCACATACAAAGAAGAAACAGAATATCCTAATCAATATAACATGTTTAAAGTCAGTGTCAAAGAAGAAACAAAAACACACGCATGCATATTATGATACACCGCAAAAAATAAAAAAAACTAAGATACTTGGTAATATTCAGATGAACAATGTGAAGATTCCCAAAGTATTCCAAGCAAGGAGTTACATGAACATAAAAGTCTATTAAGAAATTATATTCCAGTTCAAGCAATCAGTGATTTAGCCTTAAAATGAATCTAAGCACCCACAAGGTGCCATTATTCTAAAAAAAACAGAGCTCAACGGAGAGTAAGTTTCAATGATTCCAACAATGCTACAACCTTCTAGTGCACACCAGCATATGTTGAAGGTCAGAAACCTTTGAATATTATGGATTAGAAGGCATCCAGGAAAAAAAGTCTGGGTAATTTTAACAACAAATTTAGGCTTTTGGTGCTGGACAGATCTCAACTAAGATCCTCAACATAATGTTAATTTGATCCATTACTAGCATCAGTAGGCATCCAGGGGTCTGTGTAGCCCGGTGGAGAGGGGGTGTGCTGAACAATAACTTCTCATTGCAAGCAGCTTCAAGACAAGAAGTGATTTTTTGGGCAGAAGCTCATCTTTAACGTCATACAATTCAGAAAGGCAACTGTGGGTTTCTTGTTCATGGGCACTACTGAAAGCAAGACATCCCAACCAATAATCTATGCTTCATCTTAATTTTTCCCCACCCAAGAAAAGTCTTGTGATTATTTAGTGGTAAAAAAGAAAAACAAGACATACAATGATCAATGTATGAAAAGAGTTTATTAACAATCATGTTCTGGGGTGATGAGACAATACTACTGTTAATGATAACATGAAGTTGCATCATCATCTAGCTAGTAATCCACCATTCTGAATCGGCCTCACGTTCAGACACGGACAATCCCTAAGAATAATAACTTGATGACTCCTTCAAACTGTATGAAGCCACAACAACAAATAGCCTCAAACAAGTAGTTCACACCTTGGCATCAGGATGTTCACATGCAACAGCAAGTAACGAGGTCAGCTTCTGTATAGAGAAATCTAGATGTGCTAACATGGAAAACAAGAGACAAGATACCCTAAACACTAAACACTAAACAATAAATGGCTAATGACATGGCAAAACTTAATGTCACCGGTTAATTAATTCCTACAAATCCTAGTTAGATTCTTACCAATAAATCACTTGCAACTCACATATACCCATTACTGACCATACCAGTATGACATGGTTCTACCACCATGAGAGTCCACAAAAACAAAAAATAAAAAAAAGATGACCAATTAGCATGGCTCAATCAATATGGCGTATAAATTGAAAATAAGACTGTCTCCGGTAAGCCAAAATATGAGGTAAACTATCAAAAAATAGCATCCAAAGAAATGTTTACATTGGCAATACAGTATAATTATTTGGTGTTCTTCCACAATTCCCTATATCAATTATTAATCTTCAATGCAGGACAAATAACTGCAATCCAGATAACAGTATGCCAATGCTAAAGCAATAGTTAGGGGGCATTGACACAAAACAAGACAAGACCGAGCAACAGCCACATGAACAGATTCCAGAGGAACAAAGAAAGCCAAAGAACAATTCCAACTGACCATCCGCGGCATCGTTGTAGTTGACATAAGCATAACCGAGAGAGAAGCGAGTATTCATATCGCGGCAGACGCGGACGGACACCACCGCCCCGATCTGGCTAAAAACATCATACAGCTGCGCGTCCGTCACGCCCGGGTCCAAGTCGCCGACGTACAACGACGTCGAGGAGAACTGGGCCCCGCCACCGCCTTCAGCCGGGCCGGGGACCGCTGCCTGCGGCTGAAGCGGGACCTGCGCCATTTGCTCCTCACGATCTAGAAGAGAACAAAGCCTTTTTCTTCCCGGCTCTTCCGCTGACCCTAAGCGATCAACAACAACAACAAACACCTAAACAATTCCGGTTGCTGGATGAAAGAATTGGAGAGGAATATCGACGGGGTTCTTGTAAGGGTTTGGAAAGGGAGAGAAGGTTTCGCAAGAGCAGCCTCCGCAACCGCAACCGCGCCGGAGGCCGCACAAGGGTTTAAATCGCGGGGGCACGTCACAAACCCTAATCCAACTAACACGGCAGCCTCCGCCGTCGGATGAGGTGGGGTAAGCGACGCGGACCGTACGATGGCCCGCCCCGGGCTGATGCCGGCGGACAGGGCGAGGGGGTGCGTACGTGTCGGAATCAGGGGGTTGGAGTTACGAATCAAAGCGTAACGTGCTGATGAGTCGGGCGATTCGAATCGCCTGTCCCAAAAACAACACGGTTCACGAATGCATCCTCATTGGTCTTGTGACCCCGCGTGGGTCCCACCGCATAAGATTGGTCTGCCGTTCCGAGAAACCTGAACCCGGAACCGGCACACGCTTGTGAGCCGCACCTTTCACAGCAGGAGGCCGCTCTGGTGGGTCCATGATGGGCCCATCGAAGGATAAGATTTCGCTGGTGCAGCAGAATCAGATGGGTGAGCTCGTTGGCCCAAAGTTGTCTGATTCTTGTTGAGTTATAATGTGATCTGTGAAGAATATTATAGTTTCTGGAAATTAAACACCATCATACCCAAAAAAAGTAACTCAAGCTATTGAGTTAATCATCAACTTAAAATACTTAAGCTAAAATTAATAATATTAATAGATCCACTCCGGTCCTATAGATCAACTCAATTAATCTCGTGTGGCACAAGCAACTCCAAATGGTGGCTAAGAATGGCAGGGAGAAGAAGAGATGTTCCAACACTTTTTAAAAGGATTTCAGGGTCACCATCTATTTCCCAAGTGCTTTGATGACTCCTCTTTCACTTTCAAATGGACTAGATGCCAGATCAAGGACTTCCAATACGAATACACGGAAGCAATGGAGCAGAGGGATTCGAGGTAAATGTATCCAAGACTGATCCAAACAATAATGAGAGGCCACTAATCTTCATGTTCTCCATGCATGACAGCAAGCTTTCGAGTGCACAGAACTCACGAACGAAGACGATCTGCAAGTATGCTGTTTCGCACACCAATCTTACAAAAGACAAAAGATCATGGAACTTTAGGAATCAGAGGGAGGAACAGAGCGATACAACCAATGACACATCCATCCATACGTACGGTGCACCCACTCTCGTTATATTAAGCTCTTTCTCAACGCACCGAGTACGTACTCATCCTTTCTCTTCCCCGTCGCACATCATTTCCCTTTGCGTTCTTTAAGCAAAACCACCGATCCTAAATCCGTGTGCGTTAACCGGGATTACTTGTAATCCCATGTATTTTTCTTCTGTCTTCTTTGGCTTCATATCTCATGCTCTTCTTTTGGGTGGATAAGAAGACACACACTCCAGGAGATACATATGAAGCATATAAATATCGCAATTTACAGCATCAACAGGAGTCTCAGGAATCTTTTCACAGCTCCTCCAAAGGAAAGATACTCGATGGGTGTAAGATTATTCGGATTCCAAGTTTTATGTCTGCCATATACTCAAATAGATTATTCTTCAGCAGTTTTATGCTTTTGTGTTTGTTCCTCAAACGTGACACACGAAGGATACGATCTTGAGCTGTTTGGCATGCAATAACTTAGGAGCGTTATATGATCCATGTCCTAAAGTTCCAGCCTTTCCTTCTCTCTCTCTTTAGCTGCTTTCCTAAAGCTTGATTTATTTCAAGACATGGTGTCAACTACAAAAGAATCTATCCATCTGCAAGGAGACAAGCAGGTGAAAGCAATATGAAAGCTTTGGCATGGCAAACGAAGTTGGAAGTATTGGTATATCATTAAAAGCTCTTTACATCGATCGAGTTGATCTCCAAGAGAAGCTGCATCACAAAGGAACTACAGACCAATGACTCCTCTTCTCCTTGTCGCTGTTATTGTTCCCGTGGATTCCTTCCCAGCAAATCAACAAGTACAACTAGAAATCCAACAAGACAAAAACCGTACTTCGGTTATCAGTGTATTGACATATGTCTTCTTCCTTCTTCCTGAGGATGGCATGCGAGAACAGAACTACTGCAACCAGATACATGGTCATATGTACGCATGCGTCTACTGCAAGCTGCTGCTCCACTCGCCGTCGGAGCTCTCGGGGCCGGGCGTCTGATTAAGGTCGGGATTCTTGTACCGCTTCTCCGCCTGCCGACGCTTGTCCTCCTGACAGCAAAAGACGGCCGCCCCGCCCCCGCTCATCTGGAGCGCGTCGACCTTGGCGCCCACCTCCGCGGCCTTCTTCCTGATCGACGCGGCTGACATGGCGATCGCTTCGTGGTCGGCGTCGTCGCTCACGGAGATGTCGTCGGGGAAGTTGAGGCGGGCGGCGCGGCCCCGGAGGTAGAACAGGGCGGTGTCGTAGGCCCTGGCGGCGGCCACCGGGGTGCAGTAGGAGCCGAGCCATATCCTGGACCGCTTGTTCGGCTCCCTGATCTCCGCCACCCACTTCCCCCACTTCCGCATCCGTATGCCTCGGAAGGGCCGCTCCTTCGGCTTCCTCGCCGCCTTTTTCGGCGGCAGCTGCCTCTCCACCTCCATCTCTCCCTCACCTCTCCTCCCGTGTAGCTCCCTCCCCGAAACTACCACGGATCGTATGCCAGGAAACTTTGCCGCGGTTGCGTAGGCCGTATGATATATAGCGCGTGCCGGCAGGCGGCGAACACGTCAAGCTCGGCGCTGCTTGGTAGCTTATCCAATAACTAATAAAGGACGGTGGAGAAGAGAGAGAGTCGACAACAAGGAAAGTGCGAGGAAACGACAAATTTACATGACGCCGTCAGTTAAGAGATTTGTGACAATTAATTACAATAATTAATCTATTTGGTTATTCAAATAAAATACTAATAAATTATAAAATATTTTTAAAATATATAAATTTTAAATAAATATTTTAATATAATGTTTCAATATAATAAACAAAAATTGAAAATGGCATTATTTTTATACTTTAAACTGATATTTGAAATATTTACATGGCCTTAGATATATTTAAAAAAAAATGACTTTCAGATTTTTTTTTCTAATTATTAAAATTTTAACATAAGTTTACATTATTATATATTATATTAAATTTATTTTTACTGCAGTATGTTAATTGATTGGATCGGGATTTTAATTTATAATTAGGATTAAAAAGTGGAAGCTTTATGCCTAAAAAAATAAATTTCTCAGGTATTTATCATAATAATAATAATAATAAGAACAATAACAATAACGCGTCGAGGAGAAAAAGATGCTAAAACGCGTAACGGAGGTCGCAGAATAAACGGAGAGAATAATAACGCAAGAAAAAGCAGGGAAAGGGAAGGGAGAGCGTGTCGACGGTGGGCACTCGACACGTGCCGCGGCCGACAGCGCATTAGCGGTGCGATGCAATGATTGAGATATATATATATATATATATATAATTATATTGAATTATCATCGTTTTGTCGTCTTGTGTCCGTTCCAAGGCACGTGAGGTGCCATGACGCCACCAACGCCCACGTCTCCTCCCTCGCCACGGCAGTGCCACCTCCGACACGGGCGGACGGAGGGGGCGAGATCGAGCGGGGCTCCATCCGACGGTCGAGAACGAGGCGGGGAGGGGGCGCCGGCGCGCCATGGAAAATTAATTCGAGGTCGGTGGCGCGTGTCAGCACCGCCTGCTGCGAAGCAGCGGCGGCGAGATGGCGGAGAAACCGAATCGTCTTTTTAGTATAAAATAATATTATATATATATATATATCGAATTAATGGTTTTTCTTTTGAAAGGGAATGATTATGTGCCTTTAACATAGTAATGTAGTTTAATTTTCTAAAAAAAGTAAAAAAATTTAAATTGATCCAAAGTCCATGAATACCTATATTTATATATTACACTTGTCAATAATAATGAAACATCCTGATTTAATAGGTATTGATATGTATACTAAAGATACCGTATAAACATTTAATCGTAGGTATTGATATGTCGTGTTGATCGGATATTGATTCAATGATACAATCGTAGGTATAATTATATTCATAACCATAATGTTTTAATACACATAACTCATATAATTTTTTTTTTATTTTTATTATGATCTCAACTTAATTATTATTTCAACACATTATAAACGACACATCATAACAAACATTGTTCTAACTTTCTTCACACATCATAACAACATTGGGATCATCATATGAACTTTTGGTTTCCCATCTCTAAACCCGAATTCCCCCCCTAGTTTAACAAGCATAAGACTCATTCACACACCTAACCCTAACATCTAAGCATAAATGTTGAATTCAAGCGAGCTAAGTTAACATCATAGTGTCAATTATCTTACAAAGGCGAGTTATATGATTATAACATCTGATTCATGTCAATAACTTGCATAAACACATGCATGTGATTTTGATCATGCTTAAAATAACGTAGATGCTTTCAAACACTTAAACTCTCTTTTGAAAGAATAATTAGGTTTAAAATAAGATAGATACACTTTCAATACGTTTGGATCGTTATCATCATTCAAATTTGACTATCATCGATTGATTCATTGCACCCCATTCACTATTTATTATATATGCATCAACTTGGTCAAAATTCTTACGATAATTTGACTTAGGAAAACAAGTATTTCAAACGATTTGTGCGTGAGATCGATTGGGTAAGCATTGACTTCCACATGTGGAATAACACAACTCAATTCCGTTCGACGAAGCCCATCGCATTAAATGGCAAGGCTCCACCACAGCTTTCTTCGTTTGGACTTTTGTGTTGCTGACCTTCGAGATATATCATCAGCCTCTCTGCGCTAAATAGCTTGAGTTTTCAGACTTGTTGTGGCTGATAGAGTTCGACGTCAACTTGACATCGACTCACTCGTCAATCTCATGTTTGTCGGACGCCCACACATCCTGACATTTTATCGGACCATTCGTCTCGTCAATACTCGATGATTTCGTACGCTCATCCCATAAATCAATAGTTTATTTGAACTATTTATAAAAAGACTCTAAGGAACACTTTCTTTATCTTCTACAAGTTTGGAATATATACCTCTAAAATCTCTTAATTTTTTGACATCGAAGTTACGATAAGCTCGGATGTCAAATCGAGATTAAATCCGAATCCTCAAAATATCGAACAATCAGAATATACAATAACATGATCAAAATCTTTATCGTAAAAATATCATTCGCATTTCTTGGTTTAATTTGTATTATGGACTTAGATTCTTTTTTTTCATCTAAAATAATTAATCATCAAATCAAAATATTTTTCAAATGATCATCAATTAAGGTGAAGGTAGAGTCCATTAGTTTGACGTGGAAAAGTGATGCAAAGGACCAAACGAGATGAATCGTTGGTGATGACTCATTGAGTGCGAAATGGAGATATGTGTGACCGTTCTAATTACTTGCATGCGACGTAAGTCACATCGTTGTATCTATCTAAATTTGGACCATCTTTCGTGTTAAGACTTCCATGCCTCCATGGTAGGTTGGAAAATGATGAAGTGGAGTTGGAGTGACTTGACACTGTACAATTAGGCACATATGTTGATTAATACTTTTGAATCGATGGAGAGTTAGCTATCCGATCCTATCGACAAAGATCACTTCTTCTTCGTGACGTGGTTGATGAAGATATAAGTTTCTTATTTTACTTTAAGATTAAGACTATGTGATGTTGACTCAATAAAGCTAGAATTGACTCGAGCAATGAAACGATAGGCTTTACTTAAAAAGAGCTTTGTATGGTCGTCCATGATGAATGAATAATGTATTACCGTCAAATCGGAAGGGATTAATGAGATATGCCGATTTTTAATTAATACAAACCGGTACGGATCGGTTGAGTAATGGATTCTACCATCCATTGTTTAAAGTTCACCTCTTGAACTTAGGGATTCAAATATTTATGATTCTACAAAGAAATCAAAATATTTTACGTATGTATCACTAGAAAAACACATTTGTGTAAACTATAAGAACGAGTCCTAAGTGGATTGGCCCAAACTAGCATTTTTTGCATGATAACTTTGCTTCGTGTGTCATAATTTTTCATCTCCGATGGCTAATTTGATCTCAACATCGTCAGCAAAAATCTCACTTGTAATCTAAATTAATTTATGAGATTTTTTAAATCCACTTGTAAGGTACATACAAAATATACTTGTAAGATTGTCGTTTTGTTAGCATCATCATATTTACTAACTATCGATGAAATAATCAAGAAAGAATAGATAAATTATATATATTTTTAGAATATCAAACTATATTGATATCTTAAAAGACCCTCGTTATTTTGAGCTACACTATATATCGTGTTATGGAAAATCTATCCAAAGATTCTTAACTCGAATTCTATTTTCGTCTCTTATTTTTTTATAAAAAAATTAAAAATTATGCCACGTGGCATTTTAATTGCACTTGAAAAAGATTATTGAGAGTTCTTAACGTTGAGAAAGTTTAAATGTGTGAGCGGACAACCCATTGGGTCCCACGTGGAATTCTTGACGTTCGGTATGATTTGCTCGTTTGTCCAAACTAACTTCGTCGACCGGTTTCTTCGTTACCGTAACCACCCACCCGTCCATTTATTGGAGGACACTCTGACCCCAGTGTTGGTCCCACACAGGGCTGTCACTGGTCATTCGTACCGGAGATGCCATCTTGGATCAGATCGGACACCTCAACTTATATATATATATATATATATATATATTGCTGCCTCCAAAGGTAATGCATGTCTGTGTCACAGGCAGAACAACTTGGAGACGGTAAGTTCTGGGAACAAGCGTCTTCCTCCTTGTGACAGACGTCGAGCGACATCTCCATGTCACGCATGCCAGTGTGGTGGGGGACGCGGCTGCGTCAGGAGCAGTGGGCCGCACCCACTTCGTCGGACCGATCCAACAGCAACATTGTTGCGAGGTTTCATGAATGACAATGACCGGCGGGAAGATGAACTCACTGCACATTTGGTATCGGACTAATTGTATATTATCTTTATAATTAATTTAATTTTAATGTTTTAATTTTTATATTTAAAATTTTTATATTGATATCTTTATAATTATAAAAATAAAATAGTTAATATCATTTCTCCTTAATCATATCGATAATATGAATGATGTAAAAAAAAATTTCTAATAAAAAACTCAAAATCAATAAATACTTTAATAAAATAAAAAGTGAAAGAGTAAGATCTTCACTTCGGCTCTATTATCGTTACACATATTTTTTTTTACGTCCATTATTGATACTCTCTTCGTCTCGAGATGGAGGATGATAACTCTAGAGATGACTCTAATAACCTCATAGCGATCATCGTTGATGACAAAGTTTCGATCCTCAATTTTATCTCTTATCATCGTGTCCACTACATTCATACGACGCTCAACCTTAAAATATAATTTCGATGATATTATTTGAAGTACCATAAACTATGACTCATCTTTTAACTTCCAATCTACTCGATCGTATATTAAAATATTTTATTAATTTTAATTTTTTTATTAATTTAATTATTTTTAAATTAACAGCAAGTGTCATATCTTTCATCGATAAAGTGAGATTAGGATGTTTGTAATTAGTCCGGGCATCTCATCGTCTGGGCGCGGAGGAGTCAGGTCAACGGGGGCCACCTCAAAGCTGGACCGAGCTTGCCCTCCGCGGCCAATGGGAGAAGCGGCTCCGG